ACATATTATTCTGAGTATTACAGTCTGAGTAATCCTCTTGATCTCCTCTTCTCCACTTTATCAGGTGAATGATTCACATCCTATAAGACTCTTTAACATTTGTCTGTTCCCTGTTTATCTGCTGTTATAGTTTATCCCACCATGTATCTTAATTTAGGTTAGCCAATGATACAGTGGATGCCCTGGAAAATTAAGAGGAACTCCAACAAATTTTGAAAATGCTATGGTTGAGCAGCATACCCTTCTATCAGATAAACTACTGTTTAAAATTAATAAAAATTAAAATATGGATAATAGAAGTTTCGGGCTTGGGGGGGTTATGGTCAAACTGTCTTTGACCAATGAGCTAATTTCCATTACACGTCCTTGGCTAAGATTTTCAGAAATTGTGATCAGAAAAATGTGAGTGTATCCCTCCCTCCTTCACCTATGCAATAATAGCATTGCAGAGTTGATGATGTGTACAGCCATTCCATCAGAACAATGATGTTGGACCCCTGTCCCTCTGGTTCTATTACCTGATTTGGTACATGATGAGCTTTACACAGCTAGCTAGAGGACACTGTATTATGTTGGGTAAAAGTTCCGGTGTGATCAATATTTTTCCTGGTTTTAACCTGAAAAAATTTATCCTAAACTGAACAGAGTTTAAAATGTCATTTTAGATAGATGGACCAGCACTAAATGTGCCTTTAAAGAAAGGATACTTTTCAAAAGTTTAGTGGTATGTTGGAAGATTACTGGGGGAAGAAAGAGCTCTTATGCTTTTGCTAGTCCGGCAGCTATGCCAGCTGTGTTTTAACTGGCCCAAGATCCTTATTTACAATATCAAAGTATATGAAACAATAAAACAATAATCTAACTTTATAACCTTTTTTTTTTTCTCTCTCTCTTGGAAGGTTCAGCATCTGTCTGAAAAGCGGTTCTACTTAGAAGTTCTGAAAAAACGTGAAGACAGCTTAGAAAAACAGAAAGCTGAAATTATTAACCAAAAAAGCTGGCTTCTTAAAACCTTTGTATGTTTCCAGCTACGGTATTCAGACAGCTATTTTCTACAGTATGAGCATAGTCAGCTTTAAAATTTGAAAATATGGAAGAAGTAATGTTTTAAATCTGGAAAATCAATTTTATTTTTTTAATCTAGCGTACTTAGCAATGTAAATGTAGATAAATTCTCACTTTTAATTTACCACATGATCTAAGGTAATGTATGCTGCAGTTTATCAAAAAAGCTGATTTGACATTCTTGACAATTTTGTAATGTCTGCTGTTGTATGACTGAACTCCAATTCTGACGCATTATTTCCTTTGTAAAAGAAAACTAGGAAAGTCTCACCTTAAATTGGACTGCTTCATCCACAATAAAATATATTGAGAGGTCTCAAAATTAAAATTCAGGGAGGCAAACACCACATGTTAGGAATCCTGACATACCACACCATCTCTTTGGTGCTAGACACTCCTAGCCACCTCTTAAAAGGTAGCTACTTGCAACAAATACAGACAACAAGCTCTTTAGTTCTCTCTTGTGCAAACCTGAATATTCCCTTCCTCTTCATTGTGGATCCTTGGATCTGAAGATATTAAGAAACGCCACAGATGAGTAGTCTTCTCTGTATGTATTTGTACTTTAAGTCAGCAGAACTAAATTTTAAACATTCAGTATGAATCACCAATATTAACCCTAAATCTTTAAGGAGATATCCTTTTAATTAAGTAATATTGCTTCAGCATCCAAAGTATTCCCAATCCTAAGGATACAGAGAAAAAATAAAAATAAATGCTATAAGTATCGCAGAAAAATTATTTAGAAAAATTGTTTAGCTATAAAAGCTAAATGTCCTTTACAGAAGTGTGAAATTTCTTTTAATTGTAACCAGTCAAGTTTGATATACAGATTATAATTTCTTTCTTCCTGTATATAGAGGTCATTTCTTTTTATTTAATGCTACTGACTTTGAACAACTTTATACTAATTTCAATAAAAAGTTGAACTGAAAAACAGCTGTCACAGTCTGTAACATAATGTTACATACAATGTTAACATAATTTTTTTAAATGTTTTGTTATTAAGAATATACCCTTCACTTTTTCAGGAAAAAAGGTTAAAACAACAGACAAAATGATAAGAGCTGTAGATCATTTTCATGTTCTCATAAGTCAGGGAAAGTAAATACACTACATTTATACCACAAGTTTAAGGATAAACAGCAACAGTGTGTCTGCCTAGTTTAACAAAGTCTTTTTTTCACCTGAACATTCAGTTTTCCCTTTATTTTTTTTTCAGACAGATGCAAAGAGAAAAATGTCTGAAGAGGAAGATAATTTTACTAGAGAAGTAACAGAGTTTAATAATGAATATGGACTAACAAGTAATAGAGATCTTCTGATTAAAAAAAAAGTCAAGACTGAAATAAATGATTTAGAGAACGAGGCCGCTCTGCTGAAAAATGGTAAATCTTATTTAAATTATTTTATCTTGGATTACCAGAGAATGAATACCAATCAGTAAAATATAGCTGTGCAAAACAATAACCTCAGTTCCATTCCCTTGCTGTCTGGAGCTTCCTCTTAACACTAAACTGAATGAGTGTGGTCTGACGTACCACATTACACAAGCGTAATTAAAGCCTCTTCTGTTCCCTGTCCTCTTCAGTCCTTTCTGACTATGAGCACTTTGAGGAGAAGCAGCAGATCTGCAGAAGGAGCTCCCAATGTCTATTGTTAACCAGTACAGAGGTGCACTGTCAGACACAGCATACTATTGTAGGTTTGCAATTATTACAATAATTGGTTGAGCTATGCAAATTCCTTAGCTTCAAAAGAATTATATACACAGATGTCTTGTAGGACTGGTCTGTTACTGCCACAGTATAACTTTGAGTTAACATACAGAATATGAGATTCCTCAGCACAGAGAGTCAGACTGAAAAGCAATCCTTCAGTAAGGAAATCATGGATCACAAACTGAATGTGAGTCAATGACATCAGAATGCCAACACCATACATAGTAATCCTTCACTCTATTTAGGGCAGTTAAGCTCTTAGCTGGAGTACTGTGCATCTAGTTTTGGATGTTGCACTTCAAGAAAAAATGTGGACCAGTTGGAGAGAAGGCATATGGGACCAGTGAGGGTGACCAGAGATCTGGAGAACAAGAAAAGGACAAATATTAAAGAACTGGGACTATTTAACCCATGGAGGAAAAGACTGATGGAAGATGGATATCAGTCTTCAAATTGTTAAAGGATTCTGTAAAAAGGAAATTAATATATTCTCCATACCTATAGTGAACTGAATGAAAACAAGTGTAAACCATAATAAGGGAGAGTCTGGCTGGCTGTTTAGAAATCTTTCTAAGAACAGTGAACAACTGAAACACTCTGCCTTAGGAGATTCCATTGCCAAAGGATTTAGGAGTCTCCATTACCAAAGTTCTTTAAGAACAGGTTAGACAAGCATCTGTCAGAAATGACAGAGGTACAGCTGATCCTGCCTTCAGGAGGAGGAATGCAGTGGATGACCCCTCAAACTCCTTTCCAGTCTTGTGTTCCTATGATTCATCAAGTGCCAGCACTTTGAATTCCCGATATCTGATGTGAAGTTACTGAAATATGAGTGTCCATTTAAGTTTGTACTTGGTGGTAGCTTCCTTCTCTATTTCTTGTGGCTCTGATTCTGATCAACAAATTAAAAATGGTCTGTATTTGGTGGCACTTGTTACTTGTAATGATTAATTTTTACATATTCAGACATATCTGATCAGTCAAATGGTCTCTCAAAGGTTAGGACTTGAAAGGTAATTAACATTCTTCTCTGGGTTCAGTTAATGTCTTGATTCCATCCTTTTAAATTGCATCTTTTTTTGAAGTACAACTTGGCTGTCTTTGTGTCTGCTATAGTTCTGAGCACACTGACAACACTAAAGAGAAAAGTTTAGTCAATTCATAAGAAGAAAATTATGTGAGGACCTCCAGTTGTCAGAGAAACAATCACAATTAATTCCAGATGCTGTCAATGTTCAGGTTCAAATGTCAATAACACTAAACAAAATAATTCTTTTTAGTCCTGCTGAGAGGTGTTTGTTCACCACCTATTCAATAACTCATCTTCCTTTATAGCTGAAGTAACTCTAAAGCAAAACATTTGTAATTCCTTTTATGTCCAGTTAACAAAATATGTCAGACATCTTAATAACATTAAAAAAAAACATTTTCTTTCATAGTTATGAACACATTATATGACAATTTCCTGTGAACTGGGTTTTATATGACCAATTTTAGTTTTGTATTTAAGGTTCCTTTTGACTAGCTGAAGATTGGTAGAAGTCATCAAAAGTATTTAAGATTATATCGTGAAGACTAAAAGTGCAATGCATTTTAATTTAAAATATTTTTTTCCTTAGAAATTGATTCAATGGAAAATAAAAATGTTCAGTTAAATGAACTCCAACTGCAGAAGAGTGAGTTAAAGCAGTATTTATTTACCCTCCAAAGCGAACTCAAAGGTATTCCTGATAATCACTTCTTATGATAATTATTTGTGGCTTGACAAATGCTTCTGAAAAATCTTTTCTGTCAAGTAATTTTTCTCAAGAAAAATAATTCATAGAAAAAATATTTTAATATATTTTTACGTTATGTAATACATCATTTTTAAACATAATTATAGCAAATATTATGGATTTCAACAAGAGTAAATGTTAGTTATACTGAGGTCTATAGATTTGCTGAATCATAAACTATAAATATGAAAAATAAATTTTTACTTTTGCTAGTAAGTCATATACTTAAATAGAGAATTTAGTGTTTTGAAGTGAACTTAAAAACAACATAAATATTGTTTAAAACCTATTTAACCTGTAATTAAAGAATATAATTAAAATTCAGATGTTTAACAAGCAACATGGCTTGGACTGATGACAGATTTGGCCTATGTGCTAAGCCTCGAAGTTGTAAATTCAACTGTACCCACTTACTGACATTTGTGTGTTAGCGTATGAACGTCTGCACATAGAAAAAGAAGTCCACACACAAAGCTGTGTTGAATACACAGGAACCTCTATAAAAGAAACAACTAAAAACATACAGAGGGAACCAAGAAAGGTTCTGTGTCAAAGGTGATCACAAGTCATGGGGATGATTTTGAAATTTGGATAAAAAAATGTAAATCTAGAAATGGTTTAGTAACTTTTTTACAAATGTGTAAATAACGTGTCACAGTAAGAGAGCTAAGAAAGGCCATAAATATGGTCATAAATTGTTTGGGAAAAGGAACTAAACTTTCTAGGAGATTGCAATGTGCATATCACTTCCAATAATAAAATAATTCTTGTTCTTTGTTTGGATGCTTTTACCCTACAAACAGTTTCATAAAGAAATCTTAGAAAAGACAAATTTAGAAATTGTAGAGTCTTTGAATATGGATGACTAATATGTGTTTATAAGGTAATTGTTATTTTATGTTTAGACCTTGAGAAAGCAATCAGGGAGGCTGAAAGAATGACAAAAGATTTAGAACAAGAAAAAGTCCAAGTCACTGAAAAACCTCAGACTGATCTTGAATGTTTAAGGTGAGAGTCTTATGTTAATAAGTTCTCAAATTTAATTTTAGGTCTGTAACTACAGACCAGTCCTGGTGTCAATGACTGTTTTACCATTCCTATACAACACTCCTTTGAAATCAGAAGAATCATTCATTTTTATTACAGAACATGAATTCCTGTTGTTTATTACAGCCTTTCACCCTTACATGCATACTCTAGTGAACAAAATACTGAAAGTGTTTGCAAGGAAGTCAGTCAAACCTGGAGGAAGAGCAAAAGACTGCTCCTTCTGTGGAAAGGCAGTTCTTCATTTTTTGAAAAATTGTGGTGGAACACGAAGTACTGACGAACTACCCAATGCTATACATACAGCTGCTTGCTGGCTGCACAGCCTTCCCCAGAGCCTGACTGCAATGGAATTAATCGGCCATGATAACCTCCTTGGGTCAGAGGGGCCTTGTATTGAAGCTACAATTTATTGTAGATTTATTTTCTCTATGATCCCTACCATCAGTTCTAGTTTACCTTCTAATTAAGCTAGTTTAGAAAAAAATTTTGAAGGTTCAACCAAGACAGAAGAACTTGCTCAGTCTCCCTTAATAGTGAACGTCATTTCCTAGGAACTGAGTGGTTACGTCTCATTTCTTGTCAGTTTGCTCCAGTTTGACCTTTATGTTTTCACCATACAGAAAATAATGTAATGTTTTTCAACAAAAAATATTCCAATGCAGAAAGCCCCATATTACATAATTAAACGTATTTTTCCTGTTTATGGTGCTCCAGATCAAAGTGCCTGCGGGTATTTAAAAATAGTAACTCCTCCTAGAAAAGCTGATCCAAAATATTCTCTAAAGAAATTGTTAGGGAGAACACAACTTTTGTTACCATCATGGTTTTTCTCCTATACATTTATGAGTTTTTACAAAAATAAATATAGAGGTTTTTTTTCTGAAGACTTTTAAGGGAAAAACAAAATTTTGCAAAGAAGCTTCAGCACTTTTCTGAAAGATGATTTGGTACTAGACCATTTTTTGCTGAATACTGGTTTTTGAAAGAAAATGATGTATCAGTCCTATTACTTACTCTCTTCAACCTCTTACATGGTGTAGAGACATGTCCAAAATTCCCTCAGCATAAAAATTAATTAGCTCACAATTCTGCATACACTAGCAAAAACTTTGCATTCAACATATACATAGAAGACATGGCGTAAATAATAACAGGAGCAGTTCTGTAAGACAGAGTGTTATAATTCATTCTTTTACATTATTCATTCTATCGTGATATATTGGGGTTTGTGATACATAGGGATGTCAGCTTCCTTCTAAATAACACACTTCCCTTGGAGTAGTTTACTACCATGATGCCACTTAATATTCCAATTGGTGTAATTAGTTTTCTCTAGAAGGTTTCCTGTGTATAAGGTACAGAAGTAGCAAACATTATATTACTTTAAATACCCGTCTGTGCCACTGCTTGCTGTGAGATCCTACGCAAAACATTCAACTCCATGTATGTTTGTCTTTCTATGTAGTGAAATTAACTCACAGCTCTATGGAACAAAACTTCCTTTTATCTGGGTAGAAAACACAACAACAGATAAAATATATTAAATTCTGTTAACGACAAATCCAGCAAGAAGGATGATGAGATTTTATTATTTTATAAAGTGCCTCATTTTATGGTCAAGATAAGCTTACATTATTTGATAATTGCATGTAGTGCAAAATATAAAGTGCTCCTACTGCTATTACTACTATCACAAAAAACAAGCGCTCATTGAGGTGTAATAATAGATTGAAGATATTTTCTTTACATTGAAAATTTTTTTTATTTCATATACAGGACAAAATTTAGGACAGATTTGCCTAAGTTGTACTTTTACCTTGCACTTGCTTTTGATCTCATGCATACTCAGAAAAGCTCAATGCTTTATAGAAAGAGAGAGCCCTAAACAAGTTAACTCAGCTGCCAGAAGTAACATAGCTATGTTACTGTGCTTCCTTGTCAGCATTTATAGGTTCTGCTTTTCAGTAGAGCCAAGCAGGCAATCTCATTTTCTCATTTTTCTATTTCTGTATGTCATAGAATTGTGCTGTTTAGAAGTATCCCAAACCTTATTAGACTCATACAACTCTTTTTTTTTTTTTTTTTTTTTTTTTTTTTTTTTGACAAAACCTACTCATCACTTCTTGGTTTGGACTAGTGAATTAAAAGAATGAAAGGGAATTAAAAGTATTATATGCTATAAATAGTGCAGGTACCCCTGGAGGTACCTGATCGCCCTCCAGTACCTACAAGGTCGTCATCAAAAAACAGATCCAGGATCTGCACAATGCTGTGCAGTGGGAGGACACAAGGCAAAAAAGAGAAGTTGAAATAAGAAGGGTTTAGAATGAATTTAAGGAAAAACAATTTTATCATGAAGATAGTATAGCAAAAGAAAAGGTTGCCCAGAGAGGCTGCATAGTTTTCATCCTTGAAGGTTTTCAGACTTGACTGGATAAACCCCTGAGTAACCTGGTCTCACCTTGTAGCTGACCCTGCTTTGAGAAGGACATTGGGCTAGATGACATCCTGACACCTCTTCCAGTCTGAATCATGCAATGAACCAGTTATCACTGTAGATTGCACAAGGGGCAGAAAACAGACCTTAGATCAATACATACACACTTGCTTGTGCCTACCAGAGGCAGCATTATTTGCAACAAACCAGTCATGTCCACACTGCCTAGCATTTGATGAGATCATACCTGCTCTGGTTCCTTTGGAGTGTCTCTGTGACATTAAGATATAATGTCACACATATGCACATTTTTTCCATTCAAAATGCATTAAATACTTAAAGGAGGTATGTCCAGCACAGCAGTGCTGGTTCAAAATGACAATACCGAGCACGGTATTGTGCTCTATGCTCTATGATGTGCCACAGAAGTATTTGAGGGACCACAGCTGCTGCAGCAGAGCACGTCCATGCAGTCCATGCTTTGGAGCAGATCCTTGAGCGAACTACCCTGTCCACTCCTGTGGGTGCCCTCTGGAGGGAATCTGAGAGTAAAGAAGGATTCATGCAGTATCAGTGAGAAAAATTAAAGTACAGGCACCTGAAGTGAACCAGGAAGCCCTTCTGACAGTCTAGGTACACTTTTGGCACTTGCAAAGGACCTTTTGCAGCCAAAGTGCCAATTAATGCAATCTTACATATACTAGTGTGTATCTTAATAGGAGTCAGTTTTGGTCATGGTAAAATCAGTGTGGTTGAACACAGCAGTGTTTGAGAAACAACCTGTTTTAGCCTGACAGGGTAAGCTTTTGTCCCCATAGAGAATCTACTGCAAGAATAGAATTTTAGTTTTTACTTAAAATTGTATTTAGTATATATAAAGAGAATAATATTGTGACACAAGTAATGTGGATCAAAAATATACATTTTTTTCTATGAAATATGCACGTTTGACTCTTTTTTTTACAGAGCAGGAAACTACACCACTCTTTAAATGGCAAAAATACCAATGTTTTTAACGCTTCCTTAGAACAAATATAAGAGACAGCATCAATAACCCGATATATGTAGCTCCCAGGCCACCCTGTAAATCTGTTACTGTATCACATACCTAGTCCCAGCTTAAAAATCAATATCAAAAGTAGCTGCCAAGGCAAGAATCTTCATTACAATTAAGTATATATCTTAAAGTAAATTGCATTTCAGCTGAAGAATGTAGCTAGCTAATTCAAATTACAGCAATTCATCTTTGATCTGAGAAAAATGCCCTATCCCATGTCTGCAATTTCATAAAATTTCTCCCAAATCCATCAAAGAATTAGAAAAGGTCATGAGAAGCACACACTGGTAATTCCAACAGCTGTTGGTGCTGCAGTTACAGCTTTGTTTTAATACACCTCAGATTCAGGATAAAGCTAACCAAAATTTGAATGTTAAGCACAGATATAGTTATGGATAAGACACTGTACTCTTCCTTAAAGTAGGCACCCTGGAAGTTGTAAGTCTCATGATATAGATGCATAATTCAGAGAAATATCTAAGAAAATAGGGCTTTTGTTTTTTTTCCAGAAAATATCTGCAATTAAAATCAAAAGCTGTATTTTAGTCATCTGTTCTATCAATGCCAACACCAAACAAAAAGCAGGAAAGAGCTTTGGCATCACCTCTCTTGAGTCACATTTCCCTGGCAGGTAGCAAGTAGCATCACTTAAGTGGAACAATACAGGAGTCAAGCAGAGACTAACTGATAAATTCCTAGCTGTGTCACTTCACTATTGTAGTCATTGTAATTACTGACTATATTAATTATTTATCTTATTTCACATTTTAATTTTAAATTTATGTGTTGCCTTATGTAAAGCAACCTAGAAATCATTTTAATTAAAGTTTATTTAGACTAGGAACAGGCAGTTTCTAGCTAAAATTGGTATTTTTCACACTATTCTAAAAGTAGACAGGATAAAATGTTTATTTGAAACCTGAATTTCTGTTCTGCTTCAGAAAAGCAGTAGCAGAAGGGAAATGCATGAAGTCAGCTTACTTTGTAAGTAGTTCAAGGCTTTGTATACTTGCCTAATTCCTAAAAATGTAGTATTGGTTCTTATACTTTGTAATACAGAAAAAGAAACTCCATTAATAAAATTAGGAAGGAAGAAGCAATGCTTTCTTTCATACAAATCATACAGAAAACATGATCATCAGAGCTGAACAAATGTTTCATGCTAACAGCAGGCTGCCTAAGGACATTCATGGTTCTGGTGTTTTAAAAAAATATTTGCAATTTAATTTTATGTTAAATTTTATAATCAGGAAACATCAATCTCTGGAGTAATATATGTGGTTCAAAATGAGTTTTTTAATGACAATCTCCTCATTGATTTTTTAAGCTCTTCTTTTTAATAGCAATGCCCAGTGGAACTATTATACTTTGAATTATGTTAAAATAGGTTTCTATTATAAATTACAGTATGGATTTACAAAAAGTAGATAAAATCTGAAAAAGGATATCTTTCTTTGATAAGAC